TGATACTCTTCTTTGCATTTATAGAAATTTCACTTGGAACAATTATAGACCCTGTAGCCTTTAGATTGACCATACATCCAGTTTATCCATTTGATATTGGTCACTATCAAATGGATTTTCAATAATCAGGACTCTCTCGTCCTTCCTTTAAATATGTTGAATGGAGAGAGGAGTGGTGATTTTTATGGATGAGTAAATAGGATTTAGGAAAATATTTCATAATTGCACGGAAGTTCTTTTGAATATAAATGTTAAATTAAAAAGTAAAATTATAGATACATCATGTCAAAATTAACTCTAATCATCAATATTGAACATTATTACAAAAAATACTTCTAACTTTTTTAGGCTGTGATTTAACATCTATTTTTTTGAGTTATGATTTAACTTTATTTTTAACATTTTCTTGACTTGATCACGAATTTTTATTATAAAATTTAAAGTATTTTATTTTAATATTCAAAGTGATAGGAGAAAAAGGTTTTAAAAAAGACACCTAACTTGGTAAGGTTAATTGAGATTTGAGATTTCCTCTGCCCTGGACTATACTAATCCGTTATCTCTGCCCTGTCCCTTCACATTTGCTCTACAGAGAGAGGGAGGGAGGGAGGGAGGGACGGAGAGACAGAGGGCCCCACAAGAAAAAGAACATGCAACATCATAATCATCATTGCTTTTATTTGTTCCATATATTTAGTAACGGTTGTTGAGTAGATTCTGCAGTGAACCAATCACCTTCTACCACGTCATTTTGTCTCCATTTGTTTAAAGAAACCATGAAATGAGTCCATTTCTTTGATTAATCAATTTCTTTTTGTTGTGGGGGTTGGCCTGGAATTCCTAAAGATTGCAACTTTATTCCAAGTACATTTGCATTGTGGAGAAGAGAGGAGTACTGGACTCTGGAGGAGTAAAAGGAAGAGAGTGAGAAGATGGGTTTGCTGACGAACAGAGTGGAGAGAAGTGAGATCAAAGCAGGAGACCATATCTACACTTACCGAGCTGTCTTTGCTTATTCTCACCATGGTAATTATTCACTAATTCCTCAATTCTTAGCCCACATAAAGCAAGAAATTAATGAGAATTTGGCATGTCTGTGTTGTGTCTTCTATTTTTATTTCACCACTTTTGGCCCAAAATTTATGATCTTTGATCGATGCATATCAGAAAGCGGAAATGCGGGTTCTTCTAAATTACTATTTATCTACTATTTGGTTGCCTTTTTCTTTTTCCCTTGCATTCTGCTAATTGCTGCTGTGGAAAGTTTGAGTCTTTTAGTTCGCCGATTTCATCTCAAGTTTTTCTTTTTCTTTTGTTGTAATTTCTGCTTTCATTTCTTTTCTTTTTAACCTTTGATTAATTGATTTGGTTCTGCACACAAGATTTGTCTTGACACAATGATTTTCAACTTTCCCTTGTGTGTTTTAGATTATTTAATCAAGTATTAGCTTTTATTTGCTTCCATTTGTTAATTTGCTCCTCTCTTGTTTGACCCTCAAATTGTGTAGAAATTTCCTGCATTAGAAAAAAAAACCTTTTTTGTGCTTGAGGAATTAATAGCTTATTCTATAAATGGAGGTTCATATTTGTATATGGCTTCAATAATATACATTTGCTTTATCTAGGACTTAAGCTATGCTCAAAAGCAGGAAAAGTCTAGGGCTAATTAAAGTAATGCGGATAAACTTCTGAGAGGCCATTTTACTTATAAACTCAACTAGTCTAAACTTCTCTGTTTCACTCAAACATAGTGGGATGACATTGATCAAATTAGACTAAAATAGGCATCGAAGGTGTTGATAGCCATCAGCCAGTTCTCTGATCACTGAATTTCATCCTATCAAAATCACGTCTTCCCTGATGTTGCGTTCAGAGTTTTCTTTTATGGATAGATGGGCTTATCTATTTTATAGTTAAAATCTTGATGTCTTAAGTGTACTTGGTTCAACTCTTAAACACCTCAAGACTTCTTGAGCCTTGATTCATGTTAAATGGTAAGCCTCTTTTTCATGTGGACATAAATCTGGTCTCTGCAGGCTCCTTTTCTTATGAATTTTCTTCGCTGACTCTCTGATCTTTTCATGGTGTGATTATTAGGGGATTAAAAGGCAGCAGTAGAACTCTTAAAGTTGGCTTTTCATGCCATCTATACCTTATGACAATAATAATTGGAAAAGCTAATTATACCTAGACACACTAAGAGACCCTGTAATATCATGTGTATGGAGGTACTTCACCCTCATCAAACTATTTAAAACGTTCGTCATGGATACTTTGATCTTGGTTGATCTGAAAAAATGGCCTTCCAAAAGAGAAACAAATATTTTCCTATGAATTAGCTGTGGTTCCTAAGACATACAAGTCATTGTTGTGTCACTGCTGGTTCATACTTCATCTTGATCCAATTTATCATACTATTTGAAATAGTGTTAAATGGTGAGTTTCCTTTCTCTTCCCAAAAAACAAGTAAAGAGACAGTCATCATATTTCACAAGTCTTCGCTTTTAAGCAATTTGGTGTGATAGGTATTTTTGTTGGTGGGAGCAAAGTGGTTCATTTTACGCGGGTCGAAAGCTCTTCGGATGCTGCTGATGAAATATCAGGCCTTTCTTCATCCTGTCCAACCTTTCCCGACTGTGGATTTAGGCTTCCTAACAGTAACGTTGTTCTCTCTTGTCTGAATTGCTTTCTCCGCAATGGTTCACTCTACAGCTTTGAATATGGAGTAAGCCCCTCTGTTTTCCTTGCCAAAGTGCGAGGGGGCACTTGCACTACTGCCGAGTCGGACCCTCCAGAGATGGTTATCCACCGAGCAATGCATCTTCTCCAGAATGGATTTGGGAACTATGATGTGTTCCAAAACAACTGTGAGGACTTTGCGTTGTACTGCAAAACAGGTCTTCTGACACTTGATAGATTGGGAGTTGGAAGAAGTGGACAAGCTTCTTCTGTCGTTGGTGCTCCTTTAGCTGCACTTCTTTCCTCCCCTCTGAAGTTGCTAATTCCTAGTCCTGTTGGCGTGGCCACTGTTACAGCAGGAATGTACTGTATGAGCAGATATGCTACTGACATTGGTGTTCGAAGTGATGTCATAAAAGTTGCAGTCGAAGACTTAGCTGTAAACCTTGGCTGGGGAAGCAGCAATGAAGGAGCAATTGTGGAACATGAGGATTCTAATCACTTACTTGACAGGTGACATCATTCTCATAGTATTGCATATAAAATGCTACTGATGCTGTACTTATCAATTTGGGATAATTAGTCTAGTTCACTTCTTATCATAAGCATTCTGGTCCAGGAACTGCCATTTGGCTGTCCATGTGCGCCACCATAATGATCCTATTGTACATTGAAAGTAAGTTATTGGTGTTAGTTTGTTATCCTGCATACTAATATATGTCTTCACATTTTCTTAGCAAGTCATTCTAATTATGGAGCCAAACTTTTGGTACATAATAGCTGAATATGGACTTGTTACAGAATACAGGTTATCCTTCCCCTGCCACACCTCCCTCCCATTGTTGAGCCTTTCCTTTAATGATTGACGAAATCATTTACTTATTTGAATTTGGTGGTATTCTTTCCAAAGCTAAATCCAGCAAGAACTCTGCTGGATTCATGGCAATTTCTGGGATGAAAAGAGAAGTGAAATATTCCGTGGACTCCCTGGATTTCCCGTAGTAGAAGGATAACCTTCTGATATTGACAGTAAACTTTTCAGACCTCTGTTTTATCTATCAAGAATGTCCATTTCTGGTTACCAACAGATTTTCCTTATCAAAGAATTTCTATGTAACATCATTTCTAGGTACAGACAGTTTTACCTCCTTATGATTTCCCCTATTATTTAATTTTGATGAGTGAGGCCACTGTGATGTTTTGGTCGAAAATACGCTTTAAGAGTTCAGATCATTCTACCTGTTTCAAGCTAGAGTTGACAGGGTAAAAATAAAACCAATAAGTATTCGTGCCTCTTTAAAACTTTGTGCCTTCTGGCCACGAGCCAGAAATGCATAAAGCATAGGTACATAAAATGTCTACGATTAAATTTTGCTTAGTTATAGCTGCCAAGTGGAAAAAGAAAATCAACTGCAGCTCAGCAGCTGTAGTTTCTGGCAAATAATTTCTAAAGTTTGACATCTAATTAGGCCATTGGCTTTTGGGTCCCGCCACCAGGAAGTGAGTTCCACTTTGCTAAAGCAAGAGAAAGAGTTGCAGTAACAATTAGGTTTTGGTGATCTTGGAATGCACTTGACAGTACGGTGCATGCTGCTGTCATGCAGTTTAATTGCCTTAGAGATCTATATCTATATATTCTCTCATTCATTTTTTTTTTCTCAATCTCAAGAAGAATAGGCTGAACTTTCACCACCTTTATTTATGTTCTCATCTAAGTTGTTCGGACTCGGGTGCGGGTATCCGATACGGGGACGGATCCGAGTATCGGATTCGGAAAAATCTAAATTTTAAGATTCGGGGGTGCGGATCCGGATATGGATACGGGTGCGGAGATTCGGCTAATAAAAAATAGAGCTATAAAAATATTGTAAATTTTGAGAGATATTCTGTGAAAACTTACATGTATATTATAGAATTCAATCTTTCATTCTCCAAGATGGACATTATTCTTTCATTCTCCTAAATCTCTTTTATTTTTTATTTAAAGAAATCAAAATCTCAAGTTTTCTCCCAAATTTGTCGATGGACTCAGGTCAAAGTGTTCGAAGTCAGTTGACCGAATCCGGGACGTATCCCACTCCCGCTCCCGTCCCCGTCTCATATCGGGATGGGGACGGCACCAAAATCGAATAGTCCGCGCAACTTAGGTTCCCATAACAGGGAATTAGGTTATTCAAACGCTAATAGTAATAGTAATACAATGACAGATTTGCGTGGAGGAACAAACTTAAATAGCTTAGTTAATCTTGTTGTATCATTTGTTATTCTACTTACTAGTTAAACTTACATAAAAGCATTTGTGTTAAAAAAAGTTCAGAATATGTAAAAACATGGTTCTTTATCCTCTGCGCTTATTTCAAGAGTAGAAAAATGGAGGAGAAGACAGAGAGAAATGCAGCAAAAGAGAAGGAGAAACAAATTAAGGTTCACGCTATTCCTCAAAAGTCCCTAGTATAGTAATGAAAGTTCTCTCTTTTCTGTACAATATGCAGTTTACAGTAATAGATTTCTCATAAAAGTGAAAGCCTGTCAGCTATTGGGAAGAAACCCCACCATGTTCGATTCATCCTATAATGGTAACTCAGACTTTTTGAAGAGTCGTCATTGTTACTTCATGTTCATTACCATCATTTTCATTCAGCTTTGTTTGAGTTTGTTTGGACGTCTTGCTGCTATCATCTTTGAATTGTGCTTGGCTTGCCAGTTCATTGACCTCCTTCACAATCCCTTCAATTCTTGATGCTATTTCTATGAGCAGTGATGTTAGAGTGGCCATTTGAACAATTTCCATGAGTGACAGCGCAGTAGGTTTCAAGATAGACTCTTCTGTACCATTAGGTGCCTCTTCAGTTTTGGGATCTGGGGTTGGTATATGCTGGTAACTTGGGAGTGTCTTGAGGGCATTTTGAAGTCCTTCTACGGAAGAATTCATTTCATCAACAAGTATATCTAGCTTTGTTGAATTTGTCAACGTTTTTAACATACTCGACAGCTCTTTTAGCACGTTAGAGGAGCTAGTACCTAATCTCATGCAGACGTCGTTGAGAGGGTTCTTAAGGAACTCAGGAGTCTGTGGCCACAAGCAAAAACAAAAATGATATAAACTCAGTTACTATCTTCCCAGAAAATATATCAGCAAGACTTGTTCAGAAAGCTAGAATTTTTTGAATAGGAGTGCTTCTTTTTACCTCAGTATTGGAGTTAATGCCACCATAGAGAGTCTCAACGCAATAGGCACAGCTTCTCATTGAAGCTCCAATCTTAAGGTACTGTTTCCATGGATGTCGGAAATTGAACTTTCCATGTGCTGGCTCCCATCTGGCAAAATTGGCCTGTAATACAAGAGGTAGAGTTTATCTTATATTAGCAAAACAGGAGAGAGAGTTGATAATACATATTCTGGATTAATCAATTATTTGAGAAAGTTGTTGACTAACCATGGATTCTTCAGCAGCCTTGGAATTTAGTACACATTTGTAACCTTGCAATCTCTTACTGGGATCTTTCTCATTTAAACTTTTACTGCCATCTACTCTGAAGTTCTCAGCAGCATATCCTGAATATTGAAGCCCAAAAAGACTATTAATTTCCTCTGTTTTTGAGAGCATACACTTTATGATATCATTATTCAGTTATGTAATGTATATTACCTTCCAAGGAATCAGCAAGTTTTTCAAGGTTAGTACTAATGAGATGATGCAGCTCAGTACCAGCCCACACAGGACACAAAGTCATGGTAATGAAAACACAGATGGAGGCCCCAATAGCAATAGTGGAGACCCTTTCATGAGCCAATTCAACCAACTTATCAACGCGATAGCCTGACACTGACACTAAGCTGAACGTAAGAATGAAGATCATGGCACCATAATCAAATCGCGCTTTTATGGTAGGTATAAATCGAGAAAAGGTTGCTGCAGCAGCTGCAAGGAAGATATGTTTAAACATGTGAGCAATTCACAACTAGTATAAAGTTCTCATAAACATATATAAGAAACTGTTACTTACCTAAGAGAAAAACTGAAGCTTGGAGAATAATAGGTTCAAATCTGTCTCCAGATTGACTTGCAACCCAATGAACACCAATTCCTAGAGATCCAGCTAAACATGTTCCAATAGCTCTATTTACACACTTATATAGTGTAGAACCTGCCATATGGAAATGGAATTTTGACTCCAAATCAATACCATTACCAAAAATCTTTATGCACAATGAATTAATAATAAATAAATAAAAACACAAAGAAAGATAAATCATAGTGTGACATATGAATACTCACCTACAGTATACTCAAAAACTACTACAACTGTCATAACTGCCCACATAGCATTCCCTCCAACACCATCATACAAAGGCCTCGTGTAATAAAACAGTGACACAATAGAAAGAGCCAATCCTACTTTGAGGCAATGAATAACCTTTTTTGGCTCATTTACAGCTAAATTCCATGCCTTGTCAAAAAACTTCTTGACGTTTGAAACAAACCCCATTATTAAGCTTAACAATCTACATGTTTGCCTTGACTCTGGCACTAAAATTTGCGAAGAGCCACTAGGCATATTGACCCTCCATTCCAAGCTTTGAGCAGGAACTTCATTTTCCTTAACCATTTTTGCTAAAACACACACCTTGTCCAAACTTTTCGTTTTTGTCAGGTAAAATGTAAGATCAATTTGGTTAAGGTTTGAGAAAGACAGCTGAGGATAGAGACTTCAAATTATCATGTATTGGAGAATTTCAGCTTTCACAATCAAAGCTGGAAAACTTCATGAGTTGCTAGTTAAGTATGTCATATGCACATATATATACTCATGCTCCAAGATTTTTGATTTTGTACGTTTGTAGGATTGTACGGGAAAACTTTATATTTTAGTTAGGTAAGTTCAGGATTTTTTTATTTTATACAAATAGTGGGCAAGGGTTTGATATTCATATCTATTCCTAGTGCTTTTTTCTATGAATACAACAGTGTGCCTAAAAACTAACATATCAAACTTTAGTGGAACCTAATGTAAAAACGTCATCAGTTGGTTTTTGTTTCATTTGTTTCTCGACTATGATTATCCTCATATCTTGATTAGGTTATCCTAGATATATAATAAATCCTCCTTTTCCTTCAGATTTCTACATATATGGAGTCATAAATTCTAAACTAAATAAAAGTGGAGTTTATTAAAATTGCAATAATGAGTTCACCCTCAGCTTGCATTTCAATCAAATCCAGAGTCCTATTTTTCCCTTTAGCTTCTTTCTAATTCTATCATAAGTATAGTGCAATAATCGGTCCACCACAACGAAATGGAAGCCTAGAAATTTGGATTCCATTTAAGTTTCTTTGTTGTCCTTCTTATCCTTTATGTTGTACATATGCTATCAATCAATTTTGTTTTTTTTTTAAAAAAAACTTTTTAAAATTAATGAGAATTTCCTAATCTCTTAGCACTTGCACTCTACTGCTGCTATTGGTTTTCTGCTAAGAATCCAAATTAACTAATGGCGTGCATATACTCATAATTAAAATATCGAAATACTAAAGCAAAAATCTATGAGTGGATTAGCAACATTTAGTATGAAAATACATTTGACTTCCCGCGCCATTTTGGTCTGAACTTTAAAGCCATCTTGATATATATTCTACCTAGAGTTTGATTATAATTAAACTCTAATAGTTTTAGGAACAACGAGGGAAAAAAACTTTCTGTTCCGCACTAAATATTATCTTTGTGTTTATGCTTTCTCCGACGCATGTCTGCATAGTGCCATATATCTAGACAAAAATGGAGAGATAGGGGTGACATTAGGAAATCGTCTCAACTTGCCGCTAATCAAAAAAGTAAATAGTCACAACTTGTCCATAATAAAAAACCTAAGAGTTTATATTCCATTCACTAACGAGATAAAAGATATTTATACAATCATATCACTTACTATAAGGTAATTACATGTAATCTTTTATCTTTATAACATTATAAGCCAATAAAAATGACAACTAATAAATGACTAATATAACATATTAAATTACATTGATAGTGCAACAAACCTTTATACTTGAGCTATATAACTTAATAAGTTCAAAATAAAAAATACAGTACAAAAGTAGACCTCATATGTTATATTTGGAAATCGTCCTCCAATGACTTTGTAGTAATTAGGTGAAATCATTTCTGCATAGTTAATACCTAAATTTAGGCCTTTCTCTCTGTTGGAACAATATGACCTAATTTTGCACTACTGCTACTAGTGCATGCTTTTTTAATTCAACCTAGCTAGAAAGGCCCTTTAACTCTTCATATAAATTTGATTTCACGTCCAATACAGTACGTGAAGTGTTTAAAAAGATCAAACATCACCGTGATATAAAATCTAATTAATTATGCTTGTGTAATCAAGTTAATTAGTCTTCAAATTAGGTCACAAAGCACGACTGACGTACGACTTGCCATGTGCTTTCATGAATATTCCTTCTTATTAGTCTGCTAATCTATTTTAAGTTGATAAGTGCTTTCATCACTTGGAAAGTATCAAGGGAACTTCCCCCACGTTACACGAACAACAACATATAATTTGAAAAGTTATCTCAACTATCAAATACTATTAATTAATTAAACTTAACTTAATCTTTACATAGAGTTTAATTTCTATACACTAATAAATTTTAACATAATTTGCAGGTCTTGAAAGCTAATTATGTGTAATAACACACAATAAGTGGAATTAGTAATTTGAAAGATAAAAAGCAATCTTTTATAACAGATTAAATTGCTTTGGTAGTGCAAAATTTATATTACACCATCAACGAATGTAAATTAAATCTTGTTATGTATATCGCCTTGTGAAGAGCGGGGTTTTAGCAAGCTCTCAACTGCATAGCTACCATGCATGCATGGGATACGCAAATACATAATTGAGAACCCCCTACCTGTTACTCTTCCGTCCCAAATCAATTGTTATATTTCGCTTCTTGATAGTCAAACTGTGTGAACTTTGACCAATATTTTAAAAAGAATTTTAGTTTATCATATTGATATAAAAAATATTACAACTTGTAGTATTTTTCGTATAGTTCTTAAATATTTAAATTTAAATTTTAAATTATTGAGTTGATGAAATCCAATTTAATTTTGAAGATTAGTTCAACTGACTTTCGAGAAGTGAAATATGACAACTAATTTGGGGCAAAGGGAGTAGTATTTATAACTTTTAACTTCTGCTAATTTCAACAAGTAAAAGAGCTGTTTCCGAAGTCAATTGTGCTATGTTTTACCTCAAACTACGACATCACTGGCAGGGGCGGATTTATGCTTGTCGAAGCGGTGTCATGCGACATCGCTTCGTCGGAAATTTTACTAAATATATGTATTAATACTGTACGGAAACGGGTAAGTAGGAAACAATGACACCATATGACATATATTGTGTCTTGGTATGTTGGCAATGTGCTTGAGTTTTCTCTAAGAGGTCAAAGGTTCAAACCTTAACTAGAACATTTTCTTTTGCAAATATTTGAGAGAGCCTTTGTAGTTAAAAATTATGATGAAGTAGAATTGAACTTAGGACCTTTTCTAACTTAAGACTCAACAAAATCTATAGATTGAAGCTATTTCTTGTCTAAAAGTATGATAATCAAAGTTATATTCTAGCTCTTTTATAAATTTCGACACCGGTTACAAAAGTTCCTGCGTACGCCCCTGATCACTGGTATGCCATTATTTTGGATTTGGGGGTTTTCGAACACCCTATTTTAAATATTTATTATAATTCCAACTTTATACGTGGTTATGATTTGTTACTTTGGATTAGATCTATTGGTGATGTCTGTCACATCCTTAGTCTTAAACTAAGCGCACGTGCGGTACTTGGCAACTCGCTCACGATCTTTCATAATTTGCTCACGTTCTTGCTATGCCAAGTCAGCCTTACTACATTTAAGATCTCTAAGAGAATGTTAGAACATAGTAGAATTGCCAAAGGAAGCTTTTGTATTAGAGAGAACTTGATTATTTTGCTTGGTGAATTACAAATGAATGACCCCCTTTATATACTAGTCTCGTAGGGGCTAGTGTGTAAATATTAATTGTTAAACAAGTCCTTAATATTTACGAGATAAGGGCTTTCTCTAAAATTCTCTACAAGCCTAGAAGATTCCAAGGACTTTCCTAGCAAATCCATAGGGATCTACGGTCTTCCAAAGGAAATGTCCATACTTCTCTAGAATCTTCAACACAAATGCTACTCTATTTCATATGTGAGCTTCCACAAATATATGCCAAATGGCACCTACGTGGCATAATGATGTGGCGGGTCATGACACTCTCCCCCACCCAATTTTATGTGCCGCCCTCGACACAAAGCATCGACACGTATGCGCGCACCTCGCCTTGGCGTAGCCAGAGATCTTTGTCCATTAGCCATGATGCTCTATGGAGCGGTTTGCCTTCCCATTTCACAAGGTACTGGTCACATTTCTTCTTACGCCGTTTGTACTTTGGACGGCTAGCAATGATGGCCTCGATCCTCCGCCCATCAGATGGGTCTCCTTGCTCTTGGTCTGAATCTCCCCATAACTCAATAAAGTCTAGAAGCTTCTCAAGCATCGGGTCTATGCTTTCACTCCCTATTTGGCTGCCCTCCGTGGTTCTAGCCTTGCGAGCAAACTTGACCCCTCTGCTTGGTGCATCGTCTAAGTCCGATAACGTGCCATCACTTTGTAACTTACCATTCCCTTCAACTATGTTCGCTCAACTTTTCTTGCTACCACCATGCTCTATTTGCATGGCGTCAAGATAGGCTTTGGAATCCCTATTTTCGGCTTAGATTCCAAGCGCATCCCTCCAATGCAGGCGGTCCCTCTTGTGTCACCCTTGTGTCCCTGAGCAAAATTCCTGATCAATGTTGCAAGCTTCCCCAACTCTGGGCATTCACTTGCCCAATGTGATCCTTTACAGAAGTAGCACCCTCCCTTAGGCACGTACTCGCTATTGTTTTCCGGCCCCTTCCCGTTTCTCTTGGACCCCTGTCCATTATATGATGTCCCCTTGTCATTACCCTTGTATACCTTGGCTATGCCTTTCCCATTATCCTCGTCATGATCTCCCTCACCCCTCTCGGCGTTGCCTTCTTTGGACTTGGCAGGCTCCATCTTGAAGTCAATAAGTGACTCGGCTACCGCTATGGCCTCGTCCACATTGGCTACTTGATGTCTTCTTAACTCCTGCTTTGACCAATTTTGTAGCCCATCCATGAAGTAAAAAAGTGAATCTTCCTCGGATAACGACGGGATTTGCAGCATTAAGGTAGTGAACACGCGCACATATTCCCGAATTGTGGTCGTCTGTCTGAGCTCCCTTAGCTTCCGCCTAGCCTCATACACCACATTCACCGGGTAAAATTGCCTCTTCAATTCCTTCTTGAACTGCTCCCACGTCTCAATGTTGCATAGCCCCTTCTTAATGTCAGCACACTTTCGATGCCACCACAACGCAGCAATCTCTGAGAGGTACAACGCAGCAGCGTTGATCTTGGCCTCGTCGTCTCTCACCTTGTCGTGCCTGAAGTAGTTCTCCAAGTGCCAAAGGAAGTTCTCCACTTCTTGTGCATCACGAACACCTTTGAACACCGGTGGTTTGGGAGCCTCGATCTTGGTCTCCCTCGTCACAATAACATTACTGTCTGCCTTAGTCACGCCATCATCGATACGCTCCTCGAGTGCCTTTATCTTAGCCTTCATGGCATCGATAGTGCTCAACGCCTCCATGAGTCTGCACTTCAACGT